GGAGGCACCTACCTTGGTGAGATTCCCTTCTTGAGAAGTTTGGGTAGGAGAGATATAGAACAATAGCTAGAGAGAATGGATGGTTCATTTGAGGGTTTTTAAAGGATGAGACACATAGGCATATTTACAGGCAGTAAGGAAGAAGCCAACTAACAGGTACCGACAGAAGATTAGGGATGATAGAGGAGGCAATCTGGAGAAGACAGAATGGAATGGAATCACTTGTGCATGTAGGGGGTTTGCTAATTTAGCAAGAAGGGTTACCTCTTATGTGAAACAGGAGTGAAGGAAGAAATAATGGCATCACATCTGAGTGATGTGAGATAAGGAACAGGGAAGAAAAGGAAGATCTCTGCAAATGACCTAATTTTTTTTAGTGAAATATGAGGCAAGGTTCTCATCTAAGGGTGGACAACTGGGAGCTATGAGAGGTTAGGTTCAGTCATTTTTGGTCATATCAACTCTCCATGGCCCTATTTGGGGTTTTCTTGGCAAAGATACTAGAGTAGTTTGCTATTTCCTTCTCCAGCTCATTTATAGATGAGAAACTGATGCATATGGGTTAAGTGATTTGCCCAGGGTTACACAGCTAGCAAGTGTCTGAAGCTGAATTTGAACTCAGGAAGAGGATTCTTCCTGACTCCAGGCCTAGCACTCTATCCACTGCTCCACCTAGCAGGGTTTGGAAAGATGAATTGATTAGGGAGGTATAAAATGCTTGCCTTGCCACAGTGAGGGCCCAGATGAGATTATGTAACATAAACTCATAGTGGACCCAGTCAGCACATTTTTGTGATTTTCTCCAGCTTTTTTTTTTTTTAGTAGTACATAAATAGGAATGAAGGCAAGGGACTCAAGATTAGAGGATTAACAAGTGTAGTTGGGTACAAGGGTAGCATGGGGTAGAGGGATCAGAGGTCATAATACAGATGAAGAACACAGTTTGGGTGGCAAGGCAGGGAAAGAGGTGGAATGAAAACAGATTATAACCAGATAAAAGAACTTCAGAGTTCATGAACATGGATGTGGAACACTTGTAGGTGATGGAAAGATCAAGCGAATAATCATCTCTGTATGAAGCTGAGGTAGGGCAGAGGAGTAGTAGGTTGTGTGAAATTAGTAAGCTAAGGAATTGGGAGGTTAGGTATTTGAGGGAGTGTCAATATGTACACAGTAAATCCCCTAGTCTGAGGACAGGTGTTAAGGAGAAGAGAAAGACTGTGAGCTAGGCACCGAACTCTCTGAGGAAGGAAGGAGAGTGTCCAAAGGAATATGGACAACAGCTCCCAGAATCTTGATACATATGGGCCATACATAGAGATTGGAGAGATTACTGAGTGACAGAGGCAAAGGAAGGACCTGGAAGTGGCAGTGAGAAGCAAGGAGTAATTCACCTCCCCTGCCTCTAGCGGGTTGGCAATGAGGGGTGGAAAACATGTATGAGTAAGAGAGATACGATGCTAGGAAGAATAGCTGAGTCCTCAGAAGGGAGCCAGATCTCATGGTGGACGGACAGAGAAAGGAGAAAAGATCTAAGATAAAATTTAGTTTGTCACCTAATATAGAGGCCTTCCAGAGAGCATAGAAGAATGGTTGGGTGGCTTGAAAGCTGAAGGTTTGAGGTTGGGTTGAGGAAGATGAGAATCAGGGAAAGAACAGTGGTGGATAGAGAGCAGGGTTTGAACAATAGCATCCTGGGGTTCAGAATAATGGGGATAGAGTGGCTATGACAGGGTGGAAGCATGTTAATCATTGAAAGGGAAGTGAAGGGAAGAGAATAAGCATTTTTATAGCCCCTACTATGCACCAGGAACTATGTTAAGTGCTTTTACAAATATTAGAATATTTGATCCTTACAACAAGCCTGAGATGTAGGTGCTGTTCTATCTCCATTTTACAATTTTTACACAATTGAGGGAACTGAGGCAGGCAGAGGTTAAGTGACTTGCCTAGGGTCACACAGCCACTAAATGTCTGAGGATGCTTTTGAACTCAGCTTTTCCTGGCTCTACGCCCACTGCTCTATCCACTGTGCCACCTTAGCTGCCTCACTGAAAAATGAATTCATGTAGGTTATTATTGTCCATATGGAAATTTGGACTCCAGTGATAGATAATCAAATAAATCTGTAACTGAGTGAACCACCATACCCAAAGAGCGCTGATTAAAGGATTAGTGTCAGCCTAGTGAGAAGCCATAGGGCTCTGCATTTGAATCTGTTCTGTTCAACCCTTTAATTAATGGCTTGAATGAGAAAGTAGAAGGCATGCTTTTCAAATATGCAGAAGACAGAAAGTTGGGAGGGATGGTTAATGAGGTAAATGTCAGAATCAAAATTCAAAAACATTTGGACAGGTTAGCATGATGAGCAGAAACTAAAATGATATAATGTGAAGTCCTACAATTAAATTGAAATAATTATACAAACACAGGAATAGGGAGGAAGAAACTTTATATGAAAAAGACCTAGGACTTTTATTTGGATATCAACTCAATATGAGTCAATGGTGTGATGGGACTGCCCAACATACTAACATAATTTTAGGCTATTGGAAGTATATATATGAAAGGAGGGAGTTAATGGTCCCATCCAATTCTGTAATGGTCAAATGGTATTTGGAATACTGTGCCAACTTCTGGATGAAACATTTTAGAGGAATATTAACAAACCAAAGAGAATACAGACGTGGGTGACCAGGATAGGTCTGGAAACTATCATATAAAGAATAACCAAAGAAACTGGGAATGTTTAAACTGGAAAAGAGAAGACTTGGGTAGGACAAAATCACTATCTTCAAATACTTGAAAAATTGTCATCTGGAAGTGGATTAGATTTATTTTGCATAGTTCTACAAGGGAACAAGAATGATTGATGAGAGTTTAGGGAAGACTATCATATCAACAGAACCTTAACAGGTAGATCCATTTCAAAACAGAATGGGCTACCTTGCAGAATAGCTAGCTACCCACCACCTTGAAGTATTTAAGCAAATGATGCCATCTGTTAGGGATGTTGTACAGGCAACTGGGTTGGAAAATGAACTACATGGTCTCTAAGGTTCCTTCCAATTTTAAGATTCTATGATTCTAGGTTCAGTAGTTTAGTTATTTTTCAGTTGCATATAACTCTTTGTGAACCCACTTGGGGTTTTCTTGGCAAAGATGCTGGAGTGGTCTGCTATTTCCTCCTTCACCTCATTTTACAGATGAGGAAACTGAGGGAAACAGTGTTAAGTGACATGCCCAGAGTCAGCACAGCTAATAAATGTCTGAGGTCAGATATGAACTTAGATCTTCCTGACTCTAGGCCAACTGCTCTATCTACTGCCCTACCTAGCTATCCCACGATTCTAGGTAAATGTACTCAATAATAAGTGTTAGAATTTTTAAAAAATTCAGTTGGTTGTGACAGCCTGTCTCTTCCACAGTACAAAAATCTAGATATGATTTAGGATTCAACATGTATAGGAGAGAAGTTCATAAGGCATAAGGATGTTCTTATATTGATTTATATATTTTTAAACTTCTATTTGACGACAAAAAGTGTAGAGAAATTAAGAATATTTTTGATGAGAGTGAAAAAGGAGAGTGTAAAAGTTGGCTTGAAGCTTAACATAAAAAAATTAAGATCTTGGCAAATGGTCCCATCATTTCCTGGCAAATAAAGGAAGAAGCAATGGAAGCAGTGTCAGATTTTATATTCTTGGCCTCAAAGATCACTGCAGACAGAGACTGCACCCATGAAATTAAAAGATGCTTGCTCTTTGGAAAGAAAGCTATGACAAACCTGGACAGCATAGTAAAAAGCAGAGACATCACCTTGCCAACAAAGGTCCATATAGTCAAAACTGTGGTTTTTCCAGTAGCAATGTATGGCTGTGAGAGTTGGACTATAAGGAAAACTGAGCACCACAGAAATGATGCTTTCAATTGTGGTTCTAGAAAAGATTTCTGAAAGGCCCTTGGATAGCAAGGGGATCAAATCAATCAATACTTAAAGAAATTAAGTAAGGCTACTCACTGGAAAGTCAAATATTGAAACTGAAGCTTAAATACTTTGGCCACATAATGAGAAGATGGGATTCATTAGAAAAGACCCTGATACTGGGAAAGATTGAAGGCAAAAAAACGGGACCAAAAAAAAGAGGATGAGAGGGATAGATGGTGTCATGGAAACAATCAACATGAACTTAGATTCTGAGAGACTGTGGAGGATAAAGGGTCCTGGTGTCCATGGGATCACGAAGAGTTGGACACAATGGAGTGAATGAACACAACAATAACCTCTTATTTTAACAAGTATTTTAAAAGACGTAACAGGTCACATTTTGAATTTATATGCAAATAAGTCTAATAACTTCTGCCCATCCCCAAAGCTCATGGGGATGCTTGTCTGCAATATAAAATTGTTACCATACCAGGCTTGCAATATAAGACTGAAACTCAATCACTGCTCATCTCAAGCTCAAGAATGAATGCTACAGGAGCAGCTAGGTGGCACACTGGATAGAACACCCGGACTTGGAGTCAGAAGGACCTGTGTTCAAATTTGGCCTCAGACACATAACACTCACTAGCTGTGTGATTCTGGGCAAGTCACTTAACCCCAATTGCCTCACCAAAAAAAAAAAAAAAAAAGAAAAAAGTAAAGAAAGAGGAAAAAAAAGAATGTTACAGCAGCATGGAACAGTGAAAAGAACATTGACTATAGCGTCAAAGGAGCTGGGTTCAAATCCCACCTCTGAGGCTTACTACCTATGTGATACTGGGTAAATCACTTAACCTCCCTAAGTCTCAATTTCCTCATCTGCAAAATGTGGGGGTCAAATTAAAAGGCCTCTGAGGTCCCTTCCAATTCTAGATCATGATCCTATTAGCCATCTCTAAAAAGAAAAAAAAAGGAACTATCTGTTCTTGGGGCAAACTTGTCCACCAATTTTTATAAAAGGTAGGGAAGAAATAACTTTAAAATATGAAACAAAGCAAAATATATTATTTACCTGTGATAAGTGTTTTTCACTTGTGTGTCTGGATTAGATGAAAAAAGAAAAGAAACTGTTTAAAAAAAGAGAATAATTATATAATAATGTGTTAATGTAGTTCAATACCCAAAAAAGCAAATAAAATAAAATGAAAACCTGAGTTGTTCAGTACTGCCAAATAAGCCTGCAATAAAATTCTTAAATCTTAAGATTTTCCAATTTTCTAAATACAAAATTGTCAGGATCATTATTTTTCAAAACTTTAGATTCATATTATCTTTATATTTTATTAATTATTTGAAAAGGCTCAGATCAGAATTATATAAGTGACAGATTGGGGTTAAGGTGCTTTTTTGGTTTGGCTTTTGCATTTTGTTAAGATGAAAAACAAAAGAAAGCACTGAGGCTAATCACCTTTTCAAAGAAAAAAGTCTTTTGCTAACAATGAAGTTGTTTTAATTAAATCTTAATTTGCTTTATTTGCTTTATTGTACCTTGTATCATCTTCTCCAGTCTGTGTTGTAACATTCCTAGATGTTGAGAAAAATAGTAAAAGCAAAATAATTACACATTTTGCAGAATACTTCCTTACATTACAGCATTAAGATAAGTTGAATACAAATCTACCATTACAATGCTAATTTTAAAATTCACTCTATCTTCTTAGAGCATTTTTGTATTCTTAAGTACATGATAAGTGAACATTTGTGTTTACTGCACAGAGTGTATAAACATGAATTTATAAAAAGAAAGGAGATGAGCCTTATTTAGCTAAAATTAACACTGCTAACATTATTACTAATGCATTTCCAATGAAGCAAAAGAAATGATAATTATAGTTAGTCCTGTTCAGACTAATGCACTGAAGCACTTTTAAAAAATAAAAACAGAAAATCTCCCCAAAATAATAAAGTACAACAAAAATATCTTTTTTGGCTGGTAAAACTCAGGCTTAAAATATTCCATACAAAAATTCAAACCATTTTTTTTACCCTTTGAACAGCTAAATTATAGTTTTCCCTCATATAAATTAGCAATAAAGTTGTTGTTTTTCTGTTTTTGCCTTTTTTTTTTCCAAGAAAAAGAACAGTACAAATCTTAAGAGATAGAAAGATTATTTGAATAGGTAACTGGAGCTCAATCATTTTATAGTTTATTAAAGTAACTCCAGAAATGTTAAAAACTGTTGTGAATGTGTCTTGGGTTCATTTTAAATTCATTTCAGGTTTGCCTATTGGTAATACCATCTAATTAGAAATGCTATTTTCCCTCTGAAATAAGCATTATCTAGTATTAACTCTCTCTTTTTAGCAACAGTAACGTACTAATTTTCTTCAGTGTTAGCTATTTCCTGTTTAAATCAGACATGGTGTTTTCTTTTGCAATGTGGAAATACGTTTTGCATGATTTCACATGTATAATCAATATAATATTGCTTGCCTTCTCAAGGGATGGGAGAGGGGTAGGAGGAGAGAATTTGGAACTCAAATTTTTAAAAAATGAATGTTAAATTCTTTTTTTGCATATAATTGGGAAACAGTTAATAAAGATAAATAAAAATATATTAAAATACACACAAAAAACTCCGCCATGTTCAATCAAGACTTACAACATTATTTTTATCTGACAAATGTAAAATGAGTTTTCTATAATGATTTCTTAGAAAACAAGTTATTCTCAAAGATGGAGATGAATGAATATGTACATATATCTTTTTCAGTAGATACAATTCATTTGACAAATATTAAGCGGCTACTATGTGCAAGGGACAGTGTTAGGATCTGGGGATTCAAAGATAAAATAGTCTCTGACCTCAATGAGCTTACGGAGGGTTAAGTGTGGAGGACACGCTATATACAAGAAGAAAAAAAAAAACACAAAGAATGAAACACAAAGAATCACAGGAGCAAAGAGGAGCTTCAGACAAAGTGCTTAAGGAAAATTTGCAGAGGGAAAAAATACCATGGGCGGGGGAGTGGGGACGGGATCAGTAAAGGCTTTTTTAAGGTGTCCTTGCGCTGCACCTTGAAGAGAAGGATTCTAAAAGTCAGAAATGAGGAGGGTAGGCACAGCCTAAGCAAATGTATGGAAGTAGGAGATGACATGTTGAATTCAAAGAATACCTAATAGGCTAGTTCACTAGAACATCAAGGGAAGTAATGTGAAATAAAGCTGGAAATGAAGTCAGGTTGTGGAAAGCCTTAAGATACCAAGCAAAGAAGTTTGTATTTCATCTTAGAAGTAACAAGGAGTCACAGAAGGTTTTTGAGCATGGAAATGCCCCAGACACACCAATTATTTTGGTAGTGTGTAAAGGGTGGTCCGAATAATGAAATATTATATCATAGGAGATGACAAATATGACACAAAGAAACACAGGAGAATTTGTATGAGTTGATATAGAGCAAAGCAAGTCGATCAGGAGAACAATATATACAGTGACTATAATAATGTAAAAAAACAAAACAAAACAGTGCTAAAAAGCAGCCAAAACTCAACTCAATCGTAAGGACAGATCTTTACGCTGGAGGGCAGATGATACTTTCCTTTTTTTTCAAAAGAGAGATGATGGATTCTAGCTGCAGAATGCTTGCTGCACATGTTGTCAGACAGGGCTGCCATGTCAGTAGGTTTTGGTTAACTTTTTGTTTAAAGTAGAGTTCTGGGGGGGATGGTGATATATTAGGAAATGACTGTCGTATCAAAACAAAAGAGCGCAATAAAATAAAAAAGGATACACAAAGATAGGAGGCCATCCATTTTATTCTTAGGTCTCAGGTTTTGTCTCCTCTGAATTTCTGGTTATCTCCATTGCTACCTTCCGACAACACTGTAGCTATTCTTTGTGGCATCTAATGTGGTGACTACATATAGGCACAGTTTTCTCTTTCCTCTTTCCTTTTCAGTTTAAGGCCCTTTTGATTAGATTCACAAGATACCAGGCAAATACTATAAAGCCAGTCTTCGTAAGTTCATGCCCTATCTGACTAAGAACTTGTCATTCCAGCATTTTAAGACACGAGCCTTAAATCCAAATTCCAGACTCAATTTTCTTAATCAGCTGTTGTCTTCCCAAATTTGCCTTTCTCCTCTGAAGTCTTTGACTTATAATTTGTCCCAATGTGAATCATCAGAAATGGATAATAGTCTTCTAGATTGCAAAGTACTGGGAGGTCATCTTGTCTTATGCTCCAATGAGTAGATCTATTATCAGGGAATAGATGCCTCAGTACTACCAGCATAAAGTCACCAATCACTGCTATTTGTCTCTTCTTCCTCTGACCCTTAAGGCATAAGCCTTCACCTGGCAGCCCCAGTGGATCCACATGATCATTCCCTGAAGGACAAAACACTGTCCTCTGACAGTCCAGATCCCTCTCTTCCAGAAGACCTAACATGTTACTTAGCTCCAAGTATTCCTTCTTTCATTCCTTCACAGCAGGACATTCGTACACCCTCCAACCTCTTTCCCTTTGCTTTTTCAGGTCCTTTTTCTTGTTTTGGCCTTTCCATTTTCTAAAGAAACACTTCGTTCTCCTAGACTACCTTAAGAGTGGAAAGGTATTCTTCGACCTCCTTTAGCTTTTCTTCTTGAGAAAGATCAACTTGAGTACAGATCACATTTCCTTGGTCCTGGCAGAAAAGACAAACTTTACACACTTCTTATAGGTCACCAAACAATTTTTGCTGCTTTGCATACTTTCTAGAAACGAAGTTCACATTTATATAGTGCTTTAAGATTTACAAAGCACTTTACATACATTATCCCCATGGCAGCCTTCTACAGCAGGGACTATTATCTCATTTTACAGATGAGGAAACTGAGGTTCATAGAAGTTATAGAACTTGCCCAAGGTCACATAGTCCATAAGTGTCAAATGATAGAACAGAAATCTACGTCTTCCTAACTTAAGTCCTGGGCTCTGGTCCTGTTTGTAGCACTAGTCACTGAATCTCTTGGAGAATTCATTTCATGAGAGCCATAACAAACTTCCTTTCCCTTGCCTTAACTTTCTTGAATTCTTTTCTGTTCTTCCTACTCCTCCCTTTCAGGTTCCTCTCCTGTCCTTTCTCTTCCTTGGGTCCTTCTCCTTCCATTCTTTTTGTTGTCCTTCTCCTGAGTCCTACTTTTCCTTTTCAGGTACACCCTTATCCTCCATCAGCTCAAATTGCTTCTTTCTACCCTAGAACTTTTCCTCCTCTCCTTCAGGTTTGAGTTCTCCCAAATTTTCTTTCTCCTAGTTCATTCTCTGACCTTTTTTTCAACTCCAAATCCCTCAAAATCTCCTTCCTAATTCCTTATTCTTTAACTAGAGTTCTTTGTCTATTCCTTCTCCTTTTTTTATCCTTACTGCTTGGAGCCTTTATCTTCATTCAGAGGATCAGTTCAGAAATAGCCTACCCAATATAAAAAGTCTTTCCCAAACCCCCTAGTTGTTAATGTTCTCTTTTTCATCAATTACCTTGTACTGATTTATTTGTGTACATGTTGTATCAGATTAGGAGCTTCTTGAGGGACAGAGACTTTTATTTTTCTTTTTTGTATCCCCAGGACCTAGGACAGTGCCTTGCACTTGGGTGCTTAACAATTACTGATTTAAATTAAACAGTAACAATAGTTGAATCCTGGAGAGTATGTAAGTTAATTTTAGGAGAACACAGAAGAGCAAATAGATGGCAATTGAGCTTTGGAGGACACCCAGAGTTAGGCGGCAAAAAGAGGCCTCAAGATATAGGCAGAGAGGAGGAGGTATTTATTATTGTAGCATATTTACTGAGAAGTTGTAACAACCAAAATCCATGGAAAAGAGAAGTAACAGGGATTTTGCTTCACTCAATACCGTTTAGTTTTATAGAAGTAATGTTTTATTCAGAATGTTTGTGGTCCTTCCTCAAACTTTCTTTGTTCTAAAAACTAGTTTGGAATATTTGGTATGTGATAGGGGTGTATGCTAGTCCAGAAACCTCAAAAGCAACTCTTCCTACCTGGAGATACAGAGAAAGACAAAAGTAGTCCCTGTCAGTTTTTAAGATCAATTTTGAGAAACTGCCTTTCTTGAAAACTGAAAGGTTCATGTTAAGGATCAGACAAACAGAAAGTAACCATAGGGTGAGAGGGAAGCTTTGCAAATGCACAATCTGGACAAAAGATGGTTACCATTACTGCCACTACCACCAGCCTCATCCCCATCCTACCCCATCCCCATTCCTACTCACTACCCTAAGAACTATTTCCAGCAAGTAGATGGCATAGTGGATACAGCTCTAGGCCTGGAGTTGGGAAGACTTGGGTTCAAATAAGGCCTCAACCACTTACTAGCTGTATGACCCTGGGCATGTCACTTAATCTCTGTTTGTCTCAGTTTCCTAAATTGTAAAATGAGAATAATGATAGCAGCTACCTCCCATGGTAGTTACTAGAATCAAATGAGACAATAATTGGAAAGTGCTTAGCACAGTGCCTGGCACATAGGAGGCACTTAATCAATTTCTGTTCCCTTCCCCCACTTAATCATCAGTACAGGACATGCCAAAAAGAGGTACTTGGAATTGGTCCTCCCTATTACTACTCATGGATTTACACTTTAAAAACTAAGAAAGTAAAAAAATGTGGCATCTGTCTTAGAGTGCCAGACTTTGTCACACTGACATCAAGAACCCCTTCTACTATATATACTTTGATATTTGAATGAAATTTCTCTAAGAAAAACAATGCTCTCAGAATTAAATCAGGAGACTAATAGATTACAAAGTCACATTACAGTCCAATTTGGCTAGGAATAGCCTTCAAACATAGTTATATCATATTCACTTCAAAAAAAAAGGCAATTTCAGATTACCTGAGCAGTTGATTTAGGGCAAAAACTGCTATCTCTAGGAAAAATGAGGTTAAGGCCCAAACCTGTGATTTCAGTAGTATAGAAAACTACCAGTTGAGGAAATGCCTCTACCAGTATAAGATGGCACCTTCTCTGCAACTTAATCATAGAGAATTACCTAGAACAGATAGTTTTAAGTAGCTTAGCCAAGGTCACAGAGCCAGTACACATCAGAAGCAGGACTCGACCTTGATTTTCCTGGCTATAAGGTCAGTTCTCTGTCTACTACATCGTGGTTCCTCTGTTATTATTCATAGAAAATTTGATTAATAGAATAATGTAATCTATTTCTTTGGGGTATAAAAATATTTAGAACTTAAATTCAAATAGTTCAGTCCAGGGACAGGAAATGGGAGACCTGAATTACACAGAGATTTTGTATAAGTTCAGTCATTGATTCTGTGACCCAAAAGTAAATCCCACAAGCACTTTTTTTTCTAGCTTCTACACCAGTAAACAAGAATGATAAGTGACTGCACCTACCTCACAGAGATACTAGGAGGATAAAAGGGGAAAAAATTGTTATTAGGCAGAAATACATTGTACAAATCCAAAGAATTATTATTTTCTATGCATCAGAGAATACTTATTTGCTGAGTACACTATGTTGCTCCACAAGCCCTCCAGATTCTCTCTCTAAATAAAAACCTTGGGGGCAGCTAGGTGGCACAGTGGACAGAGCACTGGCTCTGGAGTCGGGAGGACCTGAGTTCAAATACGGCCTCAGACACATAACACTTACTAGCTGTGTGACCCTGGGCAAGTACTTAACCCTGCTGCCTAACCCAAACCCCCCCCCTCCAAAAAAACAAACAAACAAACAAACAAACAATAAATAAATAAATGAAAAGCTTGCTGGAGGCCTATACAGGTAGTTCTAACACCTTCCTCTAAGGATCATCCAGAAAACTGAAGTCATGAGAGTGATAGGCCATTCAGGGCTTGAGATGTTTCTCATGCTGCCTTCAAAGAAGAGGGAGAAGGAAATGTTTTTACTCATCCAGAAGTAGAATTGTTATATTCCACTCCATTCCCACTTCTCCCCCAAAAATAGAATACCATTTCCCTTTATTTTATTTCAAGTCCTAGGTCACTAGGGTAGGGAACCTGTAGCCTTGAAGTCCCATGTGGCTCAAATTCAGTCAAAGGGCCTCACTTGAGGACCTAGAGGGACACATGGGGCTTTGAGGCTGCAGGTTCCCCACCCCTGGTCTGTGTCTTATTAAAATGTGATTGATGCACTATTCCCTGCTTGTTGCCACTGAGATCTTTTTGGTGAGTATTCAAAGAACCAAGAACCAGGCTTGTTTGCCTTGACCCATCCAGGATCCCAATCTTTAATAGGTGAAAATATTTAAAAGAAAATATTAGTACATTCATTCAATAATTCATTAGACAGGTTTAAAGTCATAGCATTTGAGGACCAACATAAAATATTTTGCCTATCCAGTAATACAATAAATATGCTTTCAATGTCTTTGAATGTTCTGATTTTAACAAAATGTTAATGTTCTGAATGTTCTGATTTTAACAAATACATTCAAAAATTTTCCTTCACTTATATAACTAATAATTAGTGGGTCAGTAGCATATGTAAAAGACAGGCATTATTATAGTTTGATACCTTTTTACTGGTCCAAGGGCGCCCTCTGTCTGAGTGCTGAAAAAAGTTCAAAGCCAAATGAAAGCATTTGAGTCAGATAAACTATTAAGTGCAATTCCATGAGAATGTTCTTTTTTTTAAATCAGAGATGGTTCGTATTCAAAAACAAGAAGTGCTATTTCATTGGCAACCAAGGAGGCAGTCTAAGACAAGGTTGCTAGAATTCACTCTTTTGTTCTTTTGATCACTAATTGTAGACTCCTTCCTAAATACAAACCAAGGTAAGGCCTAGCTAAGCAGTCATCTAAATAATTCTAGGAAAAACACACCATGCTTTTAGCAGATTTGTTATTTGGTAATTTACAATTACCATATAATAATGAAATTATTGCCTTAAATAAATAACCTAGCTAATTTAATTAATTTTACATTTTGCTCTGATCATATACATTTGTGAATATTAGCTTCTTAATTTAACAGAAAGATGAATATTATTATAATCAAACATTTGAGTGTCCACTGTATGCAAGCTGCTGTCCTAGGTGCTAGTGACATAGACAGTGAGAAACACGGTCACTGCTCTCACTAGAATTTATAATCTACTTGGGTAGACAAAGACATATAGAAAAAAAGATAAATAATAATACAATGTAGTAAATAATGCTAAATGAATAGGCCCCTAAATGTCACTGGCTTCTTTTTACACTATATACTAGCACTTAATTCAATTCAAAAAATGCTTATAAAATACCTTTCACTCCTCCCACTCATCTGGACTCATACTTTATGGAGAAAAGACAAACCATCACCATGACCTCCCTTCTGCTTCCCTACTCTAAATCTCAAAACTGAAAACCTTATTACCCATTCACCCTCTTCCTTTGCTCCAGTCTTTACCAAAGAGGTGGCACTCTTCTGGCCAAGACCAAATCTTTCACTTTGCTCATGATCCAATCCTCCTCTGCCTCCAGCAGCTTGCCCCCACAGCCATCACCATCCCTCTCTAATTTTTCATCTCATCTGATTTGCTGGACCTTACCCCACTGCCCACAAACATGTGCACATCTTTAAACTCCTAGACATTTGACTCTACAATCTCCTTATCATATTATTTCTCCCCTCTTTCCCAGCCAAACCCTTAGAAAAAGCTATCTATACTCATTACCCTTACTTTATTTCCTCAAATACACCACTAACTCCACTAAAATCGCTCTTTTAAACGGGTTAGCAATAATTTCTTAATTGCCACATCCACCGGCACAGTGCCTGGGCACACAGAACAAGCACTTAATAAATGCTTGTTTCCTTCCCTTCTTTCTGTTCTCATCCTTCTTGACTTCTCCACAGTACCCACCATTGTTGTATACTCCTCTCATGACACAACTCTCTTTGTGACCAATATGACTCCATTGCCCGCTACTCTCCTTCACGTGTGCCATCTTTCATCCTGAACTACTTGCTGTTCTTTATACCTAATGGTCCACTTTCCATCTGCATGCCTTTGCCCAGGCTGTTCCCCACACGCTCCCTCCTCATCTTTGCCTCGTAAAATCCTAACTTCCACTGAGACTCAGCTTAAGTGCCCCTCTGAAAGCACAGGGTTTTTTCACTTTTTTGGTGCCATGGAGCCCTTTGGAAGTCTGGTAGAATCTATAGATGCCTTCTCAGAATACTATTTTAAATGCATAAAATAAGAAACACAATATTACAAAGGAAATTAATTATATTGAAATGCAGTTAAAATGTTAAAAACAAGTTCACAGACCCTAGGCCAAAGACCCTATAAAGGAAGCTGAGGGTGCCTGCTCTGGTCGTTAGGTCCTAGGCCAGCTACCCTGTAGATGTTTTACATTTACTGATCTATGAAGATAGACTTTTCCCCTCCAATACAACAAGCTCGTCAAGGGCAGGACTTCTTCCTCAGGTTTTAATCTCTAGAGCCTACCGAGTACCTAGCATCTAGGAGGAGCTTAGGAAACATTTAGTGAATTGAATTGAAGGCACTGTGCCAAGAACCTTGCATGCAAAGGCAAAAACAAACAATCATTGCCTTCAAGGAGCTTATATTACTATCCTCAGGATTTGAAAAGCTGTGATATGTTCTACTAGCCCCTAAGGCAGTACTTTTATATAACTTACATTAAAATACATTACTTCAAAACATATTTGAGAGAATATGCTTCCATACTATTAGCTGAATGTAATCTATATAATAAGGGCCTACTTTAAGTGAATTTAGTCTGTTTCAAGTGACAATATAAGAAAATAGCATATATCATACAATAAATGTATATGTAAAGTGCTCTGTAAATTTTAAAATATATAAATGCAAGTTATTATTAATGACATCATTATCAGTAGTTAGGTATTGCATCTTATTAAGATTACAAAATACTAGTGAGCTGAAAAAAAATCCTACTAATAGTCCTGACCAAAAGATTTCTATCATCTACTTCATTCTAATAGGAAAAAAACAAAGTTCTATCATAAATACCTTTTAGCATAGATGACTTTAAATTAATTTTGTTTTTAATTAGGAGTTTTCTAGGACTTACCTTACATTGTTTGCCTGTTCCCTTGGTATATTATTATCTAAAATGGTGAAAATTATTTCATTATATTATAATTTATACATTTAACACAGAAAGTATCCAGAAAGTCTTACTTCAATACAAGAAACCTGCAAAATATTTATGGCCTCAAATGTAATATCCCCAGGCCTTTGGATTGGTGAATGCCTGGAATTCCCTCCTCATTTCTGTCCCTCAGTTTCCCTGGTTTCCTCCAGTCTCAGCTCAAACATCACCTTTTTCAGTAGACAGTTCCTGGTCTCCCCAGTGGCTAGTTCTTCTCCCCTCTGAGATGACCTTCCATCTACTCTGTAGATGTCTTGTATGTACCTAGTTATCAACATCTTCAATGGCAGGGACTATTTTTGCCTTTCTCTGTATCTCCAGAACTTAGCATAATGCATGGTAGACAGTAAGAGCTTAATAAGTGCTTGTTGAATAGAAAATAAACATTGCAAAATTATAAAGGACAAGCATAGTCCCAAAGAAGAGATATGAGAAAACATCTCCCTCTACTTCCTTGCAGAGGTGGGAGGTCAATGGGTGTGGAATATTGCATATATTTTCAGATTTTTTTCAATGTATTGTTCATTTTTGCTGCTTTTTATTCTATTTTCTTTTTAAAATTATAAATGTGAATATATGTACATACATAAATATGATTTTTTGGGAGGGGAGAGGAAGGATACAGAGGGAAATTTAGGTGAGGTTAAAGACAAAGGATATCAATACAATTTATTTTTTAAAAAATATTTGTTAAGTGATTTTAACTAAAGCTTTCATGAATATAGGCATATTTGATAATACTTTTTTATAATATGCACCTTTGATGATACTATTTTAAAATAGGATGTATTCATAAAATAAAATGTATTCAAGCAGGGAACTAAAGTTGCAAGACCAGCATATAACAGAGGTGGGGAACCTTCGACCTTGAGACCACATGTGGCCTTCTAGGTCCTTAGGTGTGGCCTTTTGACTGAGTCCAAGTTTAACAGAACAAATTCTTTTATTAAGGGGATTTGTTCTGTGAAGTTTGGATTCAGTCAAAGGGTGGTACTTGAGGACCTAGAGGGCCACATGTGGCCTTAAGGCTGCAGGTTCCCCACCTCTTGGCTAGAACATAAAGTATTTGTCTTCTTAACAAGAAATAGTACTTGATAAACAATGTTTTATATGGCATTAACTCAAACTTTAGAAATTTGAAATTTGTATTAATTCTCAAAGGGGCTAATCTGAATTTTGCTTTTATACTTGCTACCAAAAAGGAATTTATAAACAAATGAATGACAAGAAAGACAGACAAGGATGAGTGAGATACTTTAAAAGTATTCAGTTGTATAAATTATCTTCTATGCTTATTTGTATATACTTTTGCTCAGTCTTATTAAATCACTTCTCTATGGTCTAGAGAGAAAATCTTCTCTATCGTCTTACTCGAAAGAAACAACTGCTAAAAGCTAAATGTGAGAGATGCCATTTGTTTTAAAACATTCTAAATACTAGATTTTCCAAGATTAACCTTTCTCCCATTAGTCCCAATTAATGACAGCATAATAAAAGGTAACTGAAAACACTAAAACTATCTGGGAGAAGACAGCACTAAAGCTATGAAGAAATCTCTGAAACTGCACAGCTCTTTACTGTAATATAGGTCAAGATGCTTCCACAATAGGACTGGCTAATGACAATATAAAAAAGCTTATTGTTCTAATTCGCAGTAAATAAAATAATAAATCTTAACAAAAGGATTCAGAGAACCATTATATTTAGAGAGATATGTAAGTCCATTTTTTTCAATCTTTAAAAAAACTCACACTCATCATTAAGAAGCTCTGTGTCTTGATACTAAAAGGGAAAGACAATACATTTCAACATGTAATAATGCTAAGTGTCAACACTGGTTAGATACAGTACTTTTTGTCACAATGCATGTGTACATGTACATGTATACATGGACAATAGATGTAAACTAATCAATCTTCACTATACCACTGTAAGAAATGACGTATTACTTCACATTTTTTTTAAAAATAGGGGGGAAACTACTCAGGATTCATGTTACCCAAGATTATAACATAACACGAAAGATACCTGACCTACTTCTAAAGAGGATTATTAGCAAGCACTTGGATCTCTATGAGTCTAGTTTGTAGGGGAGGGGGAGAAGAAAAGTAAAAGGAGTTGATAGGTAAGAGCAGGTAAAAGAAATGAATAAAGGATTAGGCAAAAATGGGCTTGGGGGGAAATACTCGAGGGAAGTAGTATTAAGGGAAGGCAGACAACTTTCCCTCACTTTTTCCCTCCCCAGCTTTGATCCTCACTTCCACTAGCACACTTGGCTAAGGCATAAAAAGATAAAGAGCTAAGTGACCATACTTACCCAAAAATTGGTGACATTTAAATAATTTGATATCTCACTAGACAGCCTCTCAATCTCACTACATATGGGAAAGAAAATACAATGTGATAGACATTACATCTTGATGTTAACATTTTATGAACTCTGAGTTCTGTTAATTATTTTTTTTAGATAATGGATCTTTCTTATTTGTGGTAGCTATGTTTTTATTTTACACCAGTTTGGCCTGTCAACACAAACGATAGAATCACAAACCTTCAGAGTAGGAAGAGAGCTTAGAAGAAATGTTGCCCAACTCCCTCATTTTAGAGATGATGAAATTGAGGCCCAGAATCATTAAATGACTTGACTAGTTACACAGTTTGTGTTAGAGCCAGGAATCAAAACCAAATCTTCTACAATTGTTCTCAGGGATAATGTTTTAAAGTAGATATTTCTAGAAAATTGCTCAGTCATTTTAGAGACTATTTACACCAGCCTGAGCATGTCTATAATCCTTACGGAGGGTGTGGGTGGTAGATGACTTGAGTTTGGAAGTTCTGAGCTCTAAAACCCATCAGGTGTCCATATTAAATCTAGAACCAAAATGGTTAGTCCCTGGGAGAGTGGAGCCACCAGGCTGCCAAAGAACGGGTGAACCAGCGAAGTTTAGAAATGGAACAGGTCAAAGTTTCTCCCAGGCAGATTAGTGGTATGACCAGCCCAGGAGTGGCTGCTGCATGTGCAGCCCAAAAGAAAACCCCCTCTCAAAAAAAAAAAAAATCCAACACAGAAGGAAACAATTTAATGTAAGGTAATACTTACTTTTCATATTCTTCTTTCTTTAATGCCCAATCTAGATAGAAAAGATTAACATTCACTAATTTGCTTATTAAAATTCAATGCAAAAACAGCCAAAGCAAGTTATACATAGTATATACAATATAAATATATACACAGGAGTTCATCAAATGCTTGTTGACAAAAGTCAAACAGTCAGACAAGAAGAGATATGAGGAAGAGTGAAAGAAGACTATCAAAAGACCTTCTACATTAATGGTTAACCATTTTTTCCTCTGTGGTCCATGTGACAAAGCAAAAAAAAAAACCAAAACAAAACCAACCTGCAGATCAACTTCCCTACATGCTATGTGCCACCACCAAAAACAAAAAGCATGCTCCAAGAGGATTATCCTTTGCCCCTACTTTGTTCTCAACTACCTGAAAATGTTATTTCATTATTCAAGAAGTAGGACAGGAGAGGGATTGTGGATTAGAGGCCAGAGCCACACATTCCTATTTAAAATGGGGATGGGAAATGTCAGATGTGATGTCTTTCAGTGAAACTTTTCATTTCACTCCTCACCTTTTAGGCAACTCCTATTGCCCTGATGTAGAATAAAGGATGATGCTTTCCCCCCAAACTAAGCACTAGTGGTGGGAACAAAATTACTTGTCTAAAATTGTTTTTAATATATCTTTACCAATAAAATAAATAATACAACTTAGATGCTGCCCTTTTCTCACTTATTTGCTAAGAACTTATCCAGATATCACTCCATCAGACTGCAAGCTAATCCATAGTCCATCCTTGACTCAATTAAATTGGTTCAAAATATGTCATATGAAAGATTGCACCAAATCACCTGATTGATCTGAGTTTCAACCAAAGCAACTAGTTGAACCAAAGTAAAACAGTAATATCTTTTTACTTTTTCCTGCTCTTCTGTGAACTACCTAATTGACCTGTTCTGTCCAGTTATATGAAAAATCAAAAAACAAATCAACAATTATTTTAAGTTCTTACTACATACCATACTATGCTAGGTGCAGGAAATCGAAAAACAAATCAAGACAAGAAGCATTTCTTAAGCATGTATGCCAGATACTGTGCTGGGAATATAAAGGGGAAAAAAAAAACAACCAGCCCCTGTCCTCATAAAACTCACAGTCTAATGGTGAAACAACATGCAAACAACAAAGTACAGACAAGATAGTGTAGAATTGAACTGTTTCACTAAGGCACTGAGACTGGAGAGGGAAGAGAACTCAGCTGGTACAAGGGTTATGGCCTGTCCAAATACTGAGCAGTGAACAGATTGCAGGTCAAAGGGACAAAGATCAGTCTAGGAAGGAGGGAGACAAAGGGAGAGATGGAATGATAGGTTATGGTCTGATAAAGGAAATATTCATATAGTTGATGAACAGATGAATTCTTAATTGTCACACTCTGGATCTCACCATTATCTACAAGTGTTCCTTAATCAAAAACTGACATTTTTTATCTGACCATAACCTATCATTCTACCTTTCCCTTATGTCTCACCTTCCTAAATTTGTTCTTTGCCCTCATTTTGACCTCCAATCCCTCTATCTCTCATCACTTTCTCAGGTCATTACTCCTGATTTGACCTCCCTTCCCAATCTCAACACTGTAATCAACCAATTCAATTACTCTGGAATCTGTCACCTTCTTATGCTATCGTGTTCACGTCTTGTCAAATCTCTCTGTTGAATTACTTCCACCAATGGCCTTCCTGTTCCTACTCACTTGCTAAACAGAGCTGGAGAAAGTCACAAAACTAAGAGGTCAACTGTTATCTAATCTTAACTGTACCTTTATTGAACAAGGCAATCTTCCCTAATGGATTCCTTATCTCACTTTCAATAGAAACTACTTCAAACCTTCTCTTCTCTCAACCCACTCAACTGACAAAATTGAAGCCACTCATTAGGTGTTAAACGGTTCTCTTCTCAAGATCCCTGGACATCACCCCTCCCACTTCCTCTAGTTGGACCAGGTAGACTTTCTACTCACCAAGGCATTCAATCCTTTTACCCATTGATTCAATCCCCATTTGTCTTCTCCAGCAGACTTCCTCTGAACCAACACCTCTTTCTATAATCTTCAGTCTCTCCCAATCTACTGATCTCTTCCCTCTTGCTTTCAAACATGTCTTTCACTAGACCCCTACCATTCCCACAAGCTATCATCTCCTTTCCTCCCTTTATCAACCAAATTCCCAGGGGAAAAATTTTCTATATTCATTTGCTCTTCTTTAGCTTCTGATCCTATTACCCAACTGAAACTGCTCTTTCCAGAGTGACCAATGATCTTAACTATCAAATCTGATTGTCTTTTTCAGTCCTCGTTCTTCTTCATCTCTCTCCTACATGTGACAAGGTTGACTACTCTCTCTCCTCTCTGGGTTTTTATAACCCTGTTTTCTCTTGATTCTCCTCCAATATGTCTGACCGCCTCTGCTAGCTCATCATAGCATGTCCCCTAACTGTGGGTGCTCCCCAAGTCTATTCTCTTTTCTTCAGCCCTACAACACCAATTCTCTATTAGACATTTCAAAGTAGGTATGTCAGAGATATTTCAAACTCAATGGCCAAAACTAAATTTATCATTTCTCCCCCCAAACCCAACCATCTTCTAAACTTACCTATTTTTATCAAAACCAAATTTAAAATCTCTCCCCCCAAACCCACCCATCTGCCAAACTTACCTATTTTTGTCAAAGGCACCACTCTTTTTCTAGTCTCTAAGGTTTGTAATCTCAGCATTAACCGTAATTCCTTATTCTTACTCACTCGTCATATCCAGTCAGTTGCTCCATCTTGGTGTTTCTACCTACATTACATCTCTTGCATCTAACCCCTTCTCTTTGTGCACATAGTACCACCTCACTTCAGGCACTCATCATCATCCCTTGCTTGGCCCACTGCAATTGGCCTCTCTGCCTCAAATCTCTCTCATTCCAATCCATCCTTCCCAGCTAACAAAGTGATATTCTTTCAGCACAAATCTGAGAATGTCACTTATTCCTACTCAATAAGCTCCAATGACTCCTCTTTACCTTTAGAATAAAATATAAATTCCTCTGTTTGGCGCTCTCTCTCTCTCTCTCTCATACACACACACACACACACACACACATATGCATTAATGATATATTGAAAGAAGATTGTTTGAAGCAGAGATGAGAAGAGAGTGCACTGCAGGCATGGCAGTTGGCCAGCTCAAAAAGGTAGAGATGGGAAACCAACTGTGAGAAGCACAGAGATGGACAGTTTGGTTGGATTGTAAAGCTTTACATAAAACTTCCCATTTGGCACTCTACAATTTTATCAAACTGGCCTCCTCTTTGCTACACACACTTGATTTTCCATCTCCATGCCTTTGCATCAACCCCCATGCCTGGAATACCTTCCCCTCTTATTTCTGCCTCACAGAATCTCTCTTTCCCTTCAAGACATAGTTCAGGTACACAGAGCCTTCCCTGATTCCAAATGCTAGGAAGTTCCTTTCCTAATTTTGACTTTAATCTTATATTTAGTTTGTATTTAATCTATACACACTTATTCTGTATGTATTTAATATAGAACTCAGTTCCTTGATAGTAGGGATTGTTTAACTTTTGGGCCTTTGTGTCCACTGCATCTAGTACTTAGCAGGCACTTAATGAATTCTTGTTGATCGATTTGATCTATTCTACCAAGTGGAATGATTCCCAGTGCCAAGTCCTATGTGTGTAAGTGTCCCTCAAGCAGTAAATTCTTCCACTGAATCTTCTGTAGATGTCATCAATAAGTAAACGACACGGTCAAAGTCTTTCTGTTTCTTATCACAGTGAATTAGCTTTCAAAAATCACTTTGGAATACATTCTTCTGGGATACATCTATCTTCTCAAAACTGTACCTACTTCAAACACTACGACAAGGAAAATCATACCTTTTCATTAATTTCAAAAGATTACAAATATAAACTGATGTAAGATGAAGTGATTATAGTGACTAAAGAGATTTTTAGAAATTATAGTACACTAGAAGCAGTCACCTTTCATATTTCCTGTTAACAGAGACCAAAATTGGCACAAAATTCATAACTCCGAAAGATTTATACATTAATTTATTTAATTCCTACTCCAATTATTTTTTTAGAGTTGTTCATAAGGAGAAAACTGGCTGGTTTAAGTTTCACTTCTGCTCTACTCCTGTAGTTTGGTTCTTTAAGGAAAGATTTAATGGAAGCTGAGTTGGCAGAGTCCATAAACTAGTCAATCAACACTTGAGTAACCAAGAAATCACTATATTATCTAATTCCAATGAGAAATATGTATTTTCATTTCAGATTACATACCCTTTGTCTTATATCGCAGCCTTGAGTTCTAATGGAAAGAAAGATGATTTTGAATAAATACAAAATGGGTAATTAAATCCTGTAAAAAGGTATATACTATGGAAAAAAAATGAAAAATTCTCAAGTAACATGTTCTAATTTATTCATTCATATACATGATATTTACAAGTCTAAAGAAAATACACAAGTATAAATACCGCATTTTTTAATTTCCTGTTTTCTGTCCTTAAAGCATCAATTTCTTGGACCTAATGAAAAAAAATTTTCCAAGTTACTAGAAACTTTTGTTACTAATGTAATGACACATAAATGTGAGTTAACACTTTTCAACTGCCTAAAAGTATTATCTAAATTATTCCAAAATTTAGTTATAACTTTATTAATTTACTTTGAAAAGAAACAATCAAGTCTAAAGGCAAGATGAAGTAACTGTATCGTATTTACAACTAAAACAACTCTGAGTTTATTTTGAATAAATCACAAGTCACTTGTCCTCTGTTTGCCTCTGTTTCCTGAACTTTAAAATGGAGATAATAATAGCATCTACCTCTCAGGGTTACTGTGAGGCTCAAATGAAATAATATTTGTCAAAAGTGCTTAGCACAGTACCTGGTATATGGTAGGCATGATATAAATGCTTATTCCCTTCCTTTTCCCTCCCTCTACTCCAATTTTATCATTAATTGCAGTTCTATTTGAGGAAGTGTTGATATTTTTAATCAATAAAAAGACATAATAGATATTACATATAGAGATAACAATAGATAATATAATTATATTATGTATATAATCTTAATAAAAGATTTTTTTTAATGAATTATACATTTCCTTCAGGAAGAGAATGGGCTGATCAAGTTGGGAACCATGATAGCATTCTCTGAACTTGTAATAATTATTTATAATTTCCATTAGAACTTTTAAGGTCTATGTACTAGTATATCCCTATCATGTAAAAATTGTCATTGAGATCAGATTTCACGGAAAACTGTAGGAGATAGAAAACAGGCACTTTTCCCACCCCCACAAAACTTTATAAATGACTGAACTATAACCATCAGGACACTTTATTACTTACAGACTGGCTGCTATCTAAAAAAGTACAAATTTCATGAACAAGTCTCCTTCTCTGCTCCTTGTTCTTTCTACAAATTAAAAAAAGTCAAAATAATCTTATATATTATAGTATATGATAAATTTCATGGGAGAAAAAATCTAGCACTGTAGGTGGTCAGTCTTAACTTACAAGATTTGCAGGCGTGTTTCATTTTTCATCAACATAAGTCCACTGTTTTCTATAATACATGAATATTTTATATTAAACACATTTTAATCTACCATGATCAGACCTTTCTCAATTAGATTTTTTAGCCTAATATTGTTATTTACATATCTCACTAACGCTTTTTCTTAACCTAAGACATCTCAGAAGACAAAATTTTGTTTTGTTTTTAATGGACAGAGAAAAATCAGAGGAAAAAAGCTGCTAATAATTCTGCACACTTCAAGTTGTACCAATTCAGCAATATTCTTAAGGGGTTTCTGATTTCCCTAAATTATGTTCCTAACGGTTTAATGGATGGTAACAAAAGTTTCAGTGGAGGAATTTACAATCTGAACAGTCTTAAATACAATAATTTGCTTAAATTGACATTGCTACATCTGCCATCCTGTTAATGTTCAATTCTTCACTTGATACATTTCATACAAGTGTTCATGGTCACAAGATACTATATATAAAACCACTTAATTGCATGTAAAGGACTACGATACAAATCTGGGGGGAGGGGATTTATTTTTTTTTGCCCGTGTTTCATTTCACACCTCATCTTAAACAAATGCAGCAAGGAGAAACATTTACCCTCTTTTTCAAGAAATGGCATGGTGAAGAGGAGACCTGGGGGTACAAACACAGAAATGCGTACATTTAGCCTTTGGGCACTAGTAGATTTGTTTCCATTGCAAAGTTTCCCTGTTAATAAATAATTCATAATATGTGAGATTCCCCTTCCGTTCTAGGAGCAAAAAAAAAAAAAAAAAAAAAAAAAAATCCCTTCTCGCCCTCCCGGTATGCAGAGTACCCCCACCCATTTCGGACCCGATTAACTCCCTTTCCTTCCAGCGCATACGGGACGTAGGCTCCTCCAGTCTCCCCTCAGCCCGGCTGCCGTTGAGGGCGCAGGGTACGGAATTCAAAACCTAACCGGCCTCTGAATCTGGGAGAAGGTAGCTCGTGGCCCCGCCCCGCTCAAGGCAGAGACCCCTCGCGGCCTCGCGCACCCCTCCTACACGCAAGCTACAGAGGTTCTCGGTCAGACCGCTGGGGCCCCCGCCCCCGAATCCCGCGCGCAGACCCCGCCCCCAAGTCCCTTCCGGGGAGCGGGAAACTAACCCAGTCCCGGCCCCAGTAGAGGAGCTCGCGCTCGAGCTCCGCCCCCAATCCTCTAGTTGGGCGTCTCACCCCCGCCCCCAGAGAGAGCTCGCGCCCCGCCTCCAGTTAGTCAGCTACTGGTTCGGTAGTCCGAGTCCCAGCCTCGTTCTCTGTCTGGTTGCTCGGGTCTCGGCCTCGCCCTCAGTCAGAGCTCGGATCCTAGCTCCGCCCCCAGTAAACTAGCATTCTAGCCCCGCCTTCAGGCAGAAAACCCCGCCCCCTAGTCTGTCGTTCATGTCCTAGCCCCGCCCCCGAGTCCACTGGCTTTTGAAAGGCCATGGGCCATTGGGCAGTTCGCGCCTTGGGCCCCTACCTGTGTAAGCCTATGCTTCCAGGCTCTGCACCGAAGTGCCATGTCGTGTCAGTACCCAATTCTTTCAGAATGCGCCTGCTCTGGGGTCTCTAAACAGATCCCTCCAATAACGACGCTTAGAACCTGGAGCTTTAATGTCTGACAGGTCTACGCGGTTCAAAACCAGGCCCGAAGACGCTAAGTGGCTGAACCCAGGGGGGGGGCAGAGGCGGCATCAGAAGCCCCCTCGTGCTGGCTGGTGCTGGTTCTGCCACCCTGCGCTGAGGACCCTCCTAGAAAAGCCCTTTGCGTTTTCATTAGCTACACCATTCCTTGGAACGGGAGCGGCACAGGGTCGTGCTCATTGGGAAAATCCATTTTCCGCCCCCACCCCCCACCTCCCAAACCTAAACTCTGACTTCGGGGCCCATGACATGTCTGCTGTTGTTCAGTCGTTTCCAACTCTTCGGGACCCCATTTGGGGTTTTCTTCGCAGAGATACTGGAGTGGTTTGCCATTATTTTCTCCAGCTCATTTTACAGATAAGGAAACTGAGGCAAACAGGGTTAAATGACTCAGGGTCACATAGCTAGTGTCTGAGGCCGAAAACAGGAAAGAGGAGTCTTTTCGACTCCAGGCCCGGAGCTCTATCCACTTTGCCACCTAGCTGACTACAGCTATGTCTAAAGTCCCTTCTAAACGTAGCAGGCCCACCCGCACCATCCACCAACTTGGCTTCGGGAAGAGCCAGAAAGTGCAGACAAAAGAATGAATGAGAAAAGGGCCTTAAAATGGATCGGGAAAAAGTATTGGCTCCTGGAGACCACGTGGTCGAGTGGGTGGAATCAGACCCACGGTTGTGGCCTGCCAGCGCCTGGCGCAGGACTACAACTCCCAGAAGTCTTCAAGGCCTATCACGCGCCCGGAAGCGAAAGCTCTAGCCGGGAAGGAAGGCGGCCCTGCCAAATAAACAGACCGGCTCTTTGCTTTTTGTAGGGGGGTGGGGAGACAGCTGCTGTGCGAAAACCTCCCTTTTGCCAACATGAACGTGGTTTTTGCCGTGAAGCAGTACATTTCCAAAATGATAGAGGACAGTGGGCCCAGCATGAAAGTACTTCTCATGGATAAGGAGACGGTGAGTTTGGTTTGGGTTCTGTAGCCCGCCCCATCTCTTCCTCCCTCGTCCTCCCCAGGCTGGGCTTTCCCTGATGTTGAGATTTAGTATTTCATTAAGGGTGTACAGTCAGTAAGCATTTATAGCCGCCTTTTATGTGCCAGGCACTGTACTAAGTGCCGGCGATGTAGAGAAAAGTGAAAGACAGCCCCTGCCCTCAACGAGCTTACAGCCTAACGGGGAGACAACGTGAAAATGTGAAATACGAACGATGTATGTAGAATTATGTATATACACACATATGTATGTATACGTATATTTCAGATTGCCTCCAATTTACCCCGTGTGTGAATATATACATGTGTCTGTAAATACAATCTATGTATTATCTATATGTGTATACATGGGTATTATACACATATGTATGTATTATTATACATGTGTATATCAGATTACCTCCCATTTAGCCTGTATGTTTGTACACATAAATGGGAGGTTATCTTAGAGGGAAGGTACTAGCATTAAAGGGAAACAGGAAAGTCTGTGATTTTAATTCTGTAAATTGAGTATGCCCTGCCCAGTGGGTTTCTAATTAAATGACTAGAGTTCCTCCCTAGCGTCCTCTTCCTGTCAACTGAGCAGTTTGATGAGACAAGGAAACTCTTAATAACTAGCTGGTCCACAGCCGTAATAGGCATGGTTAGATGTCTTTTTCAAGAAAAGGTCAACAGGTATGAGATTGAGCAGCTGCCTGCTATGTGCTAGGCACGTGCTAAGAGCTGAGTCCCTGCCCTTGAGGAACCCACATTTTAACCGGGGAGAGACAAGGTCTTCTGTCTCTAGGAGTGTGGTGGCCAGACAAGGAAGTTAGGGCTAGGAAGGGAGTTAGAATCCATAGGGAAGGCATTTGGCATGAGCCTTTGGGAAGGAATAGAACTCTTGAATTGATTATTGTGTCCTGAGTCAGGACAGCTCCAGGAAGGGAGTTGCACAACTGAGTGGATTCACTTCTCTAGAGACTGGAGACATGGATTCAAGAGGTCAGGTGTACAGGGTACTGAAAATGGGGGAAGCAGATGTCATGGCTGAATGGTGAGATGGGAAAGGATGGTCCTTTAATTTTTAGCAAAGACTTTTCATTTCTGATTGTAGCTTTGGAGGATTCACATGAGGTTACAAGTTATTGCTCTTTTCTCTCATGCTTTTAAAATGCAAATTAAACTTGTCTTTTTCAAATCCTGACTAACACTAACAGTGTAATGCAAGTCATTTAACCTCCCCTGAGTCTCAGTTTCCTCCTCAGTAAAGTGGAGAAAGTAATAACTACCTCACAGGGTTTTCTTGAGGAGTAAATGAGATAATAATGTATGTTAAGTGCTTTTTTTTGGAGGAGGGCGAGTAATCTTTGAACTAGTTTATAATTTCAGCTATTGTTACTGTGGCAGAAAGTCTATTTGGAATTCAAGTGTAAATAAATGTAGACAGAGACCATGTATTTCTAGTCTAATATTGTACTCTTCATACCTTTTATAAAAGCCCGCCAGCACTCAAAAAATGTTGGCATTGTTATCCTATCTATGTTTTGTATGTATGTATATTTTGTCTCCTCCAATAAAATGTAACCTCCTTGAGGGCAGGGACTTTTCATTTTTATCTTAAACCTTAGTGTGTTTCCTGGCACAAAGTTAGTGCTTAGTAAATGCTTGTTGATTGATTAAATTTGATGGCATGTAAAGTACCCAGTTAAGTAGTAATGAAGAGAGATTAGAAATGATTCTGTAGTAAAATTGGTGTTTGTCCTTCTGGAACAGGGTAATCTTGGTTCATTCTTTTTATGTCTAGACTGGTATAGTGAGTATGGTGTACACACAGTCAGAGATTCTTCAGAAGGAAGTGTACCTTTTTGAACGGATTGATTCTCTGAATCGAGAGACCATGAAACACCTGAAAGCCATTTGTTTTCTTCGACCTACAAAGGTATTATGTACACTGAGGTTATGCCCAGGCTTATGCAGATTTTTATATTCAGGTCTGAACACAACACAGAGAATATAAATAGTAGTCAAGATATATTTGGATTACTATTTGAGGTGGGCTATCATCATTCTGGACTCTTGGCCTTTAAAAAACAAACATATCTTTTCTTCCCATGTTATAAAACCCTCTTTGTATCTCTCTATGCACCTAATATCACCCCAGGCACACAGTAAATGCTTAATGAATAATTGAATGAGTCAATTAATGGGTTATCATTACTATTATTGATTTACTGAAGTCTTTACTCTAACACTGTTTTTTTGATAAGGAAAATGTGGATTACCTAATTCAGGAGCTCCGAAGACCTAAATACAGTGTGTATTTTATTTGTAAGTATATAATTTTCTTTTTGGTACATTTGGTTCCATATAAGCTAATTTTTTTGTTAGACATACCTTGTCATACTGTGGATTAGAGGATCATCAAAACATATCATTCTATGCTTGGTTTTCTCTTTTTTGTTGCCCTGTATTCAGATATATAAAGTTCAGATAGCCATTATCCTAGTGTAGAGAGCTGAATATAATTGCCATAAGTTATTGACATTTAAGAAAAGAAATGATAATATCAAAAATAAGTTTTTATTGCTTTTTTTGAGGCATTTTCAAATTTCAAAACGTACAGATGGTCACATTTTATGCCTCTGATCAGAAAGATATCTACATTATGCTTTTATAAACTAAGGCACAGATGTCCCTTCCTTATTGTGGGAGAAGAGGAAAAAGTGCAGCAAAATATAGGGCAGTTTTTTTCATATCCTGCTTTGCCCTTTTGCTTCATTCAGAAAACATTTGTTAATAGCTCATCATATGGCAGGCACTGTGCTAGGCCCCTGGGTAAGATACAAGGTTAGGTCTATAGAGGTGGAATCGTTTGGATAAATAGTTTTGCTAGTTTCTTTCAGAGCTCATCCCACGTGCTACCTCCTACATGAGGTCTTTCCTGATTCTTGTTCCTCTCAGAGCTCAAGTGCTTCCCCCACCTAAATAAATAAATACATACATACATACATACATAAATGGTTTTGAGTGGGTTGTTGTTCTTTGGTATTGATAAACATCATCGTAAAAAAAAGTGCATGTTGAATGACTTTGCCCGCCAGGCTAAAACCAATTCTTCTATCCTTGTATTTTCTCCCTGTGAGCTGGATTTATAAATTTATCATCACACATATCATAAGAGCCCAACACTGAGCAATTCTTAGATATTGATCTAAGTCAGAATTGTTATATAGGATTTATTTGGATTCTTCTGTCTGCAGAGGACTAGCGATAATCATAGCCATTAAGACTTACCTGAGGTATGATTATTGCAAAGCAAAGTATGCAGTGAGGCGTTTTTCATTTCCTTGGGGAGTTTGCCAGCTACATGAGCTCTTGTTTCCGGTTCCCAGTGCAGAGTCTCTGAGGAAGAAGTGGCCCTTCTCCTTGCAAAGGCCAATCCCTCCACTTGGACCCTTGAGCCCATCCTTTCCCACCTCCTCTGGAAACTTGCCCTCTTGAGCATTCTTTTTTCTGTCTTTGACCTTTCCTTATCCACAAGGTCCTTACCTCTTCCTATAACACACCTGTATCTCCCTATCTGTAAAGTTCCACTTGACCCTGCCAAAGCCAAAGTTATCCTCTTGTCATTTTTCTTCCCTCTCACAGCTAGACCAGGAAGCGGTGTTCTACACTCCTTGCTTCTGTTTGTTCACCTCCCCTTCTCTGCTCACCCATTTGCATTATAATTTCCAACACCACTGCTTCACCAAATAGCTCTCTTCAAGATTGCGAATGATCCCATAACTGCTAAATCTGATGGCTTGTTTTTAGTCCCAATCCTCTTTGACCTCTC